AACTCACGGTCAACCTGGGCAACCGACGGCAGTATCTGCGAACGTTCATCATTGCCGATGTTCCTACAGCCATACTCCGTACTGATTTCCTACAGCACTACGAACTGCTGGTCGATTCACGTAGGCTGCAGCTAATTGATACTTCATCGGAAAGCAAATTCATGGGCTTAATAGCCTACACAAACGCGTAACGAATCTTAAGCGTTTTTCATTCGTGCGACGATATAAACCACGCTTTATTCGAGAAATTCCCCAAATTAACTAAATAACCGATCTACTTCTCGGTAATTCACGCAAATTAGAACTGAACGATGCCACACGTACTGCATTTTCAGAGATCAAAACGGCTCTCACTCAAGTCACACTCCTCGCTCATCCTGACCCATCAGCCACGCTTAGTATAGCGGTTGGTGCATCGGACTTTGCCATGGGAGCCCTTGCGAAACAGAACATCTCCGGAAGTTGGCAACCTCATGAATTTTCCTCACGGTGCCTGACTTCCACGGAGACGAGATATGGCGCTTTTGGTCGAGAACTGCTAGCAGCCTACTGCGCCATCAAACATCTTCGACACGCAGTAGAAGGCCCCAATTTCATTTTATTCACCGGCCAAAAGCCTTTAACGTATGCCCTGCATACCAAGTCTGACCGCTACTCACCATGAGAATGCAAACATTTGGACTATATCTCCCAGTTCACGACAGACCTTCGTCACATTAAGGGCGAGTCGAACTATGTTGCCGGTGCTCTGTCACATATTCAAGTGAATGCAGTTACCTTACCGGTGCTCGATCTTCCTGCTATGGCGGCCGCGCAAGCAAACGATCCTGTCTGTACAGAAGCACCACAATCTTCATCCCTCCAGTGCCAAGAAGTACCCCTAGCTACTAGCTCAGGTACTATCGTATGTGATATTTCTACCGGTCTTCCCCGACCCATCGTAACCTCTGCTTATCATCGTCTCGTCTTCGATGCCCTGCATGGACTGTCTCATCCAGGTATCGCAGCAACATTACGCCTCATCGCTGCACGATACGTCTGGCCGTCCATGAATAAAGATGTTCGTATGTGGGTAAAGCAATGCTTACACTGTCAACAATCAAAAGTGCACGGGCATGTAGCTGCCCCCATTGGCACGTTCTCTACGTCTGATGCTCGCTTTGATCACGTTCATATAGACATTGTAGGACCATTGCCACCATCGCATGGGTATGATCACATACTCGCGTCCATCGACCGTTTTATAAGATGGCCCGAAGCTATTCACATCACGTCTATTACGGCGGAGACAGTTGCTCACCGCTTCATAGGACGATGGATAGCGCTGTACGGTTGTCCCTCGACTGTCACGACCGACCGAGGACAGCAATTCGAGTTCGCATTATTCTCCTCACTGACCCGGCTGCTTGGTACGAAAGGAATACATACTACCGCCTACCACCCAGCACCAAATCGTCTAGTTGAACGGTTTCATCGCCAACTTAAAAGTGCTCTTCGAGCACACGAAAACGACAATTGGTAGGAAACCATACCACTTGTTCTCTCAGGCATCAGAACGAACATAAAGGCAGATATTTAATGTTCCGCCGCTGAACTTGTGTACGGCACGACACTGCGCCTGCCTGAGGAATTTTTCACACCACGGAGCAGTAACAATTTCGGTAAATCAGACTGCGTCCAACGACTGTCTGAATCTGTGCGAACACTGCCTCCGGTGTCAACTCGAATACAACATCAACAGGTCGCTCTCCCTCGGGAGTCATCTACCTGTTTACATGTTTTCATACGAGTAGATTCGGTACGCAAACCTCTGCAACAGCCTTACAAAGGGCCTTTTCACGTGATCTGTCGTCACGAAAAGACCTTCGAGGTTGATCGACATGGCCGCGTCGAGATCGTCAGCATTGATCGTCTCAAACTAGTACACATCGATGACAGTGCCCTACCTGATAACTTGAGACTCAATGCTAGACCCATCAAACGTACTGGCGGGATCCTTACATCTACTGCAGATCTCACGCTAGATACTTCAGAGATCTCATTCTCACCTCTCGGTCAACAGCACATGTCATCTGCACCATCTACGGACGAGACTTCCGTCACACGTCCAGATCAGCAGACCACGCCGCCCTTCACTTCGGATGAGATTGCAGGCTCACGAAGTACGAACGAGACCATCGTCTCACGTTCTGGTCGCCGAGCACGCCTGCCCCTACGTTTTCGTGACTAACCGCACAATTAACGCCAGATACGGTGTGGGACTATTCCTATACTACATGCACGCTACACCTTTTCTCTTTTTTTTGCTTTTTTGTATCCTAAGCCCACGCCTCCAACCATCCCTGTTTAGTACCGCCGACTCCAGTCAAATTTGGCGACAGCTGGTATGGCCACCCACGCTCTTGTCAACACACTCAGTCGATATTCTGGTTTCGAATCTGTCTGGCATACGTTTGGTCTCGCAAATGGTTGTTATGGTCGCTTCTGGTTCCTTGGCTTAACGTGGTTCCGCCCTACGTCTGCAGCGTTTTCTCGTCCGGACCCCTACGAGCGCAACTCTCAGATCCTGGATACAAACCACTCTGTTGTGGTAAGCTAACTTGAGCAACAAATACAGCACGCTTCTCCTGGTACCGTTCTACGTGAAAGACCTTCGGTGGCAACTCGAGGATTGACGATCACTTCCTGTTCTGCCAACCCTTTCGTCCTACAATCGCACGTTTGCCGATCCGTCCCACGAATGAAACCGCTACGTATCGAAAGTGTAAACCCTTTCTAGCGGGGGGCTACTGTAGTGATCTCTTTTGTCAACAAAACCCGACAGGTGTAATGGAAACAATTACCACCATAACCAATTGTACCAGTGATTGTTTTACTGTACTTGTTTGTTTAACTGAACCAAAGACATTATTTCTTCCGTTGAGTGCGACCTTGTACGCGCTTGCGTTTGCTCAGTGAATCCGCTTGTACGCCTTTGGCACGATCTTGGTATTCTTTCGATACCACGAGATCGCCAATAAATATATCTCGACAACAGCCATCGTCTGCCTTCTGATATCGGCCTGCGGGGTTCTTATTGGTTAACTGGCACGTAGTCTTCTTGTAGTGGTGATCGTAGTCAACCGCGACTCGACACCACGCTACAATTAAGTATTTTAGCTTTATCATTTTCTTGTCACTTTAAATTCAGGCTTTTATTTGAACGATGAATTATTGTTATAGCATTTTCCACTCATAACCTAGAACTGATTATTTGTGTTCCCAGTATTCCTTTATTCCATGATTAATTTTGTTGTTCCATGTTGGTACTGTTATCTAATTGGTTTGCTCTGATACCTGATCTTGTGTGTATTTAGATGAATGTCTGAAATATACTAACGATCTTGGTCTGGTGAACTCTGGTCACGTATTTATTTTCTTCGTTCTGGCCTGTTTAGTATTGAGACGACCTTCAGGAATAGTGTATCAGTCTTCCTCGTACTTACAGTGTGTTGGTTGCTCAGGGTTGTCTGCGCGTTTTGGTTGGTTGTCAAACATAACCCGTGACAAGTCATAAACGCAGTTAAATTAAGCACGATGTCCGGGTGGTTATCCTAACAAGATATATGATTTACTGTGGTGGAAATTTCTTGTTAGAAATGAATAAATGGCTTGTAATTGACAATCAAGCTGTGTACCATATGAACTTACAGAATCACAAAAAAATGAAATAGTTGACTTTAATGGATATCGATCTATTAACAAATGTGATTACTGAAAAGTTACACATTATTTCTGAGCTCAAACTACAATAAATGTGCCTAAAATCATTTAAACGTCTTTTCAGAATAAGCCAGTAATGACGTGTTAAAGCTATTTTAGCATAAATTTGGGAAGTGAGAATTCGAGGTATATGATATGGGCTTCTAGGTATCTCTAAATTAATGTTTTCAGGACAACTTTTCATAGCCGTCTTATGATTGAGACTTTATGTCAAGACAGTTTTGTGGTCATGATTTTGGTTGAATGAAATCTTATGAAACCTTAAGTAAACATTTTTTTAGAAGAGATTAAGAATAACTTTATATTTGATAGAATTTTAACTATTTCATAACTAAATATAGATGAATATTTAAATGTTTATTGAATTTTCCCTATGGTCAGATCAACAAACCTTTGCGAACTGCATCTATGAATGTTAGGAATAGTTATTGCCTATGTTTATATCATTCTATTACAACTAAAGTTTCGGGTGACAAATTTAACTTGGAAATCATATAAAAAACACTATATCATGGCTTGTGTTAAAAACCAGTCAACCAACGGGTGAACTTGAACTTGTTAATTGGAGTAAAATCATCACTATCACAAAGTTCAAACCTGAATCATGTTAGCAAAAATAATATTATTGTATATTTGTCATTGAAAAGGTCGTGTTGTATTGAATAGTATCGCCTAAGAAGAACGATTACAAAATCATTTTTGTGTTGACTTTTCTAACTACTGTTCGCTTTACTTTGATAGTCGCTTTAGTCTTCATAGTTCAGATTATTTTTAATCCTATGGGATTGATGATTCCCTTTTTCACCATACACTATTTGTTTTCACTTTCTGTTGATTTTTAGCAGTTACGTTTGCATACTTCAATCCATTTAAGCAAAACTAGAATAAATACTTTAACTTTCATTGCTCATTGTTTGATTAGTCTATAGACTTGTTTCGTTACATTCTGATTTTCAAGTGAGTATTTCTTTGACAGAGTAGATCAATTTGAAGTTAGTTTTAGTCAGGAAATGGTATCAGCTACAGAATTATGGAATTCCAGAGAGTAGTTTTTTCGTGGCTGATTCGTCATCGTCAAATAGCCGATTTTTGACAATTTTCCGGATCTTCTAATGGTGATGTTGACAATTTTTGAACAATCAACTGATATGAATATGGATAAAAATTAACTTGAATACCATAATTCACAGAAAAAATATTTATAGGAAGGAACACGGAAGTAGTCCTACTAAACTTACTTATTTTAATTTGTTCCTCATTTGATGAATTGATGTGATCCGTTTTCCCAGGACGATTTTGATCAATTATTTCTTTAGATCCGATGGCTGTATTATTATTGTCATTATTATCATCATTGATTTGAATCAAAGTATCACTGATATTTCTAGATGTTGTATTTTTGCTCGTTTCCAGTTTAGACGTTGTTTCAATGCCGAAATTAGGCGTGAACCTACTGATTGCCAACGTCCCATTATTTCCAACACCACAGATACGCTTAGTGAATTCTTCACCTTCTTGATCGGTACTCACATTTTGATGCTCCTCTTTATTTCTTATTGTGGTTGCCATCATTGTTACGGGTGCTTGTTGTTTAAATGATTCTATATTATCAACTAAGTTAACGTTTGCTGGGTTTAATAATTTACAATTTTTATTAATTAATAATTGGTCAGAAAAAGCCACTGCACTTAATTGATCATGATTATTTTTATTATTCGCCAGTTGTGACACCATTTCTTTAACTTCCTTTTGTTCTGAAAATATACTTTCATAACTATGTAAACATGTACATGATGAATCGATGAATTCTTCTGTTAATTCCATGTGTAATGTATTTGATTGGTCAAAATTAGTATCATTTAGTGGATAATTCTCGTGTTGATACAATATACTAACCACTGATTGATTTGATGAATCACTTGCTTCACTGTTGATTATATTATACTTCAATACACTACTGTCTACTGAGTATGGTTGATCCGAATTTAGATCAGAGTCTGAAATTTCATCATGCTTTACCGATCGATTTTGTGGTTCATTATTGCTTATTTGGAAAGAACCTTTTAGAAAATGACATTAAGAGGCAAATTAAAATTATGTATAGAAAGTGTTTATGTGTGCAAAATACAGTTTAGGATTAGAAAAATACTCTATCATGTATTTATCACAGCTTAACTATAAAACTGAGGGTTATCATCGTATATTACTCAGAACCTAACACTTGTGTAGACATATGAAATATGTTTTGAACTTAACACTTGTCACTGCAAAACACTCGAAGACTAACCTACAAACTTCAAACTGAAGATACATACTCCCTGTATAACAAATGTTAGTCATCATTAAAGCCGATTTATTGAATGTGAAACCCATAAGCAAACAAACTTGACCTGTCTACACCTATAGTTCGTTAACAAAAGACTGTGAGCCCAAATAGTAATTTGGGTGTCTAAACACCATATTGAAAAAAAACAGTTGCCAAATAATTGGAAGCTCACCATTAAAAGCTAAGAGACAGTTTACGAAAAGAAATTTTCGAATATCTATCGTAAGCAAATGGGTTGTGTAAACAGAATGAAACGTTAAATAACTTAAGAAAGCAAAAGTAAACGGTGTCATTGTTCCTCGGTTTTCGAGATATTAAAGAGAATTTATGGATTAGAAGTGAGCTTTGAAGGCTCTAGGTTCCTGAGGTGAATGATGTAATCGTGAAGTTTTCAAGTAATATTTCTTTGTCTCGCAGATGACTTTGATAGATGTATTTTTCGCTATGCTGTGTGTTAATACAATAGTAAACGATGAAGTATTTGATAGGTCTTTAGATACTTCTTTCCGGACCTCAAAGAATTATCACAAGACGAATATATCTGGCTTTACGAAGCCGTTCAACAGTCAAATGTTATCTTTCAGCCCAACGGAAGATATTGGGCTGAACAAGAATACTATTCATAGGGTTAAGGCAAAAAACTTCTCTAAAATATATGGCAATGCCTGTTAAGAAGATAGCAAATAAACCGCCTCGAGTTTTATGCCGTTTTTAATCAATATTGATATTAGGTATACATTTTCAGCTAATATTCCCTTATGGATTTTTGACTATTCCCTTTTGTAGCCAAATCTATAATTTTTTCAGTTTTCATTCTCTTTATCATGATCTTAACCCTAAACCATGGAGAATACCTAACTTCTTAATTGTTATTTTGTTAAACTATGAGGACTTGCACAATGACCTAAAGTGTAGAACTGATAACAGGGAGATTAAACTACCGGAGTGTTCTCCGACAATTCAATAATTATATACTTCATAAGGTTGGAGTAACGAGTATGACAGACGAAGATTATGGGATCTTTATGTAATTTGGAAATTCACTCATAAAAATTATTTGTTGTTCTTCATAAAACAAATCAACCTCATTCCATTTTGAAGTTATCAATTATAATGATAAGCCTACCAGTTTGGAATAGTTAAAAGTGAACAAATCCATAACTAAATCCACTACTATTATTTTAGGCGCCTATGTCATCTCCACGTTTTTTCTATAACTGTTCATCTGAATACATGATAAATAAATCAGTTATAATATTTAAAAGTAGTACCCGCTTTTTTTAATTCTTTACAAAGGAAACCACAAAGATAGCGTTTCAATTTTAGTGTGATACTTGCATCAGACTTCTTCAAAACCGAAATGGCCTTTACGTTATCCAGACCACTTAAGGATATTTCATTTACCTGTGAATGTGAAAACAGGAAATATGGCATGATAAATTCAAAATATAAGATTATACTACTTAATTATACCTCATATCATGAAAACTAATAAAATGACATTTTGGTTAGGGGCTAGTAGTGAAATACAGCACAAGCATTTCATCCTTCATAGACATCAAAGATCATGCTTTCGCACCAAAACATTGAGAAATTCATTTTCAGGAAAGTCCCTAGTTAGTATACAAATAAGTGAAAGTTTATTGGATTTCGTTATCACTTTCATTAACTCACCAGTAAATACTTTCGTTAATCAGACAACGGAAGTTTATTCAACACAATGATAGCTGGCAGTGTTCACAAAAAACACTAGGTCATTTCGATTAGTTTTTTAATGAAGATATTCGTTAACGATTCCTTCTGAATATTTGTTAGAAATACTCTATAATGAGAAACGTTTACTTCAACTGGCTAATTACTTAACACATGGAAGTAGATTATCTTTTAGACCGAGTATGTTGGTGATTAATTATACATATAATATACGATAATAGCTTTTTGGTTATCTAGTGTAATAACTCTCCGCTTTTCAGCTATTTTCTTCGTCAGCAGATTCTTTAAAAGTAATCGTACTATAATTTCTTGCGTTGAAGTGAAAGTTATCTACTTTATTTCTAGATCTATCTCTTTTTCTAGAATCTTAGAGGGCTCCGATGATAGTTTACTTCAAAAGCATTGGATTTTTGAAGAGGTTGTACGGGTGTAATTCATTTGTAAATAAGGTAAACACCTCTTTCTAGGTGTGGTAATAAACGTAACCGATTTAATATAGTTGTTTATTTTGAATTAAAAATAATAGGATATGAAATTATTGACAGTTAACACTTGACTAAGAAATAATTAAACTTATCTCCAAGACAGACTATTGGTTTCAATACACAATGAAATTTATTAAAACATATCAGTGTAAAGATTTGCTGCTCTAATATATTTAACCACCTTTCTTTCAGTCATCGGATAAATATTTTTCATCAACTTTGTTTTGTCATTTCATTATCTAGAAAAATCAAAGCGGCTATTTGGAATATATAATATTAATAAGAAACAACCAATAGTACTGAACTTTTATTCTCACTTGGATTATTTGATCATTTACTTGAATTGATTTTGACTTATCCGATATACTGTTGGGAGTGATCTTTTGTACAAAAATTCCTTTATTGTATGCATTTTCTAAAAAGAGAAACATAATATTTACCAAATGATTTGTTATTTGTCTACCATAAGTTTTGTTACTAGCACAAATAGTTATATTCTATTTTTTCTTATTCAATAAATGTTTCTCACATGTGATGAATCATGTGCTGAAGCATGGAAAGAAATCAAGAACTAAGAATCATTTTCGTCAATTCAAGCAATATCTGAAAATCTTTCTTTAATGTAAGAAAACCAATCTCTTTGTTAGAACTGAACTCTCGATTTCTTTATATATGATATTTATCTGAAGGACACTTTGCTATGTATAGTTCATGTCTCACTGTTTATAGATATTGTTTCGTCAGTTGATTGTAAAAAATCAGTTCAGTTTTTGAGGTAGGTCTCATCACAGATACAACTCAACTGATGGACTACTGAAATAAAGGAAACAATGAGTCATTATTCTTTCCTAGTTTGAGGCTCCTCAACTGTACACACCTAACTGGATCTGAAAATTCACGTTACTCATTTGACATAGAATCCGTAGTATTAGACCTATTAAGACTAGATCATTAGTAAGTTTGAATAACCGGGTGGAACATTTTGAATAAATCTAATTAGTCGTACTTCATATATAATGCTTAGAATCTTTCTGTGTATTAACTCATGCTTATGGAGGACCAGTACAGAATCGTCGTCGGTCAGACTGGTAGGACTGACTCACAAACAGGAAGTATGTATTATCTGTATTTTATTGTATGGATTTTTCACTTCTTTGTGGGTTAGTTGAGTCAAGATAAACTGGGTCATTCATATAATATTTTCTTATTCTAAATCATTCAAGTCACTTGACCTTGAAACCCATGTTATTTTGGTTTTTATTTTCAACAGACTTCTGAGGAGGAACCACTGTAACCATGACACACCAGGTAGATGTTTAATCCTGGTTTATGTCTTCTTAAGAGAACTCACATACTACAACACCAGAGATCAGACCCAGAACTTCCGTGTCTCTCTGTAAGAGTGCTTCTAAAGATAACTGAGTGGAAAATCATTGTGATATAGTGAGACTGTCCTCATGGAACGAGGATAGGAAAAGTCAGAACTTTCGGAACTATTTTTCGGATTATTATTATTATCCATATTTTTACTGCATAATTTATAGATAACTTTATTATTGTGTTCGTATATTCGCCGTATCGTAAGGTCCCAGAGGACCTACCAACTACTGTTATGCGTGTTACTGTTCCTTAACTATCGCTAATTAATTATGTACTGCTTACTTAGCTCTGACACTTATGAAATGGTGTTTAAAATATTATTTCTTGCTCGATCTGCTTCAGGATCTGACAGTCCTTGTATATTATCTAGTGACTGTTTGAAATAAATGTTATGTTGGCTGGTTGGCCTGGATAATTAAAATATATCATTAATAGGAGCTTAAGTGCAGATTTCTCTCTGGAATTAAGGTTGGAGATGGAGAAAAGGCTTTCAGATAGACAAATTAATAGGAGTGTGGCTCGTGTAACCTCAAGGTCAGTTTTTTTAGTTAAAACCTATTATTATGGATAGGGTATCTAGGATACAGATGAAATAACAAACTCTCAGTCTAGTCGGAATTGTGATTGGTAGAGTAAGCACGTGATATAGATAGTGTATCTGAAGACATAGATCATCATCTAGTTTCATCAAACATACTTTTATCACAAACCAGCATCTCTCAACTCTCCCAATAAAGGTGACTCACTAGAATGTATGAAATTTACTCTGAGTTAGTAGATATGTTTACTAATGATACAGACAGTTCAGTTATATGGGTGTCGGTAAATAATCTAGTCAACATTACTCGCTGCTAACGGGAGAAATATTGAGAAAAACGCCTAAAATATATTGAGCAAATAGCTCATAATCGTTTTCCTAAAGTTTCACCGTTTCTTCATGATGCACTGGGACTTTGATTTATTCAAATCTTCTCTGAAATTTTCACAAATTTAAAGTAACCTTTCATAAAGTAAATGACTGTTATTAGTTAAAAATCACATGTTTTTCATTTAGTAACGTAATATAACGTTTCACTCCATAATTAGACGTACTTTCAATCTAATTCGGTATTTATGTACTGAACACTTGAAAATATTCATAATGTAATTATTTTTGGAAGCTTCAAAACATTAGATTGTTTACTTGTCATTTGTCACTTGCAATCATGAGAGAAATTAAAAAAAAAACTTATGAATGTAATGGAAACTGTGTTGTATGAAGTGTGGAACTATTCATAGCTTATTATTTGGTTGACATTTAAAATAAAACTCATTTAATAAAATTATTTTCTGTTTTCAAAAGAAATAAAATGTTATTTCACTAGCTTTCAATCACCGGAGTTCACATAACTTGTTACTTTGTGATAACCAAAGCAATGCTTATGTTTTTAGTAAAGTTGTGTTCTCTGAGCTAGATACTTCAGTCATGAAACTTTCATCAGAGCGAACTTCAAATAGAAGCAAACCATTGACATTTCTCCACAAGTTAAATCCCAGAATAGTAGAGGTAGTTACAGCATCAGCGGTAATAGAAAAGGTTAGATATGGAAGATATGATTCAAGAATAAAATATAAACTATTGAAATAAAAACACAGAAACGGTCATGAGGAATCACGAAACTCAGAATTTAGAAGAAGACAAAGAATGACTCCACCTGCGTCATCGCAAACGACTTTAAGCCATGTCATTCAAAACATCTAACCACTGACTTCAGTAGTCACGCAGACGACATCCAGGTAGTTTATTCCTATAAGCATGGCTAAGTCCGATTATCAGTGACATTATGAACGTGCGACATGCTTTGGTTTGGGCGCCCTTAGCTTTCTTCCAACTTACTCCTACAGCAGAAAACATCACGCTTTGAGGTAGGCGGCGATCGGGCATGCGTAATACATGTACAAACCATCTCAGACGATGAAGATTTACTACCTCTTTAACCGATTTCGCATCATTTAGCTAATACTCGATTCCTAACCCGGGCATAGTTTACTCTATGTTTCGAACATACGCAAGTGATGCTGCGAAGACACCAACGATCGAATAGCAGTAACCAACGAATAGATGGAGAAACTCAATGTCCATTGTCAAGATACCATCAGCAACAACCTACTGTGGGAGAGAAAAAACAACTTCCAACTGAAGAAGAAATTAGGAAAAGACGTTGGAGGTGGATAAAAAAAACATTGCGGAAATCATTCAACTTCATCGCAAGACAAGCGCTAGCTTGGAAGCCTGAAGAGAGAAGGCAAAAAGGAAGACCAAGGAACACATTGTGAAGGGGATCGGAAGTTGATATCAAGATAATGAGTCGCAATCGGAAAGGATTCGAAGGGGAGTGCTGGTGGGTGGCTTATGATCCTCCTCGAAAGATAACAAGCAAATGTAAGCATGTTTAACATCTGTTAAGTATAACGTAGCAAACTGCTGAGCAGTAAACTCGTCCTTTGTTTGGAAAACGGATATCTCGCCTACGCCACCGTTGATGCAAGTTAGCATAAACCAATCGAGTCTTCTGAATCTGTGCCGAAATTTCACCAGACCACAGACCATCAGTACTGATGAAACTTCCTAGATAAGTGGAGCGGTCGACACAATTACCTCACTCCCTATCACTAATTCAGGCGATGACGCAATCCAATCCGCATTCCAAACATGTTTGCATTGTCCTTATGTTGATCAGGAGATCGTATTCTGTCAAAGACTTCACCAAACAGAACCATAACATTTGGGTATTCTAAGTCAAAAACTGAACCTATTGATAGAAAACCGACTTCTAAAGGGTCAGAGGATGAAGGTGTACTCTATTACTAACCCAGACATAGCTTACTCTATGTTCCGAACATACACGAGTGGTGCTGCGAAGACACAAATGATAGAATAGTAGTAACTAACGAATATCCTCCATTATTAATGATTATGTTTTACACTCATAAACTAGAACGTAGTGAAATGCTATGAGTTTTAATGAACAAAGACCTACATAGTGTCCATTGAATACACCATTCGCATATTTCCATTGAATTGTCTCTGACAAGGTCCATCAATCTTTCATTCCTATTGCTTCTTGGACTGCTTTTGCTTTTCTTTCTTTTCTCCTGATATTCCTCTTCTGTGAGTAAGAATCCTACTTCCAGTTCTTGGCGCATGCTACTTATATCTGTCCGTATAAGTAGCACACACCACAGTGAACTCGTCCTTTGATTGGAAGACGGATAGCTCGGGAGTTGGCAAAAACGAATCTAGCCCTATAAAACCATGCCTAGGTTTTGTCAAACACCAGCCCATCGGTGCCCATGAAACTTTCAAGATAAATGAAGCGATCGACACGCTCAACTTTTTTGTATGGCATCATTATTTCAGGAGCTAACCCAAGCCAATCCTGAATTAACAATTAGCATTTGGAGAGGGAGAACTTCATTCCAAATGTGATTGGATTGTTGCTCAAGGTACAGAAGGCTCAACTAGCTTTTGCCAGCTTGCGTCATTTGTGGCGTAGGCGAGATGTCCATCTATCAACCAAAAGGACTTGTTTACTGCGCAGCAGTTCGTTCCGTCCTACTTTATGACAGTGAAACATGGCCAGTAAGAGTAGGAGATATTCGTAGGTTACTAGTATTTGATCATAGGTGTCTTCGAAACATTGCTCGTATATCCTGGGACCACCGAGTAAGCAACTCAGTTGTTAGGAAACGCGTACTAGGTAAGGATGACAAATCAATTGATGAAGTAGTGTAACTTAATCAGTTGAGATGGCTGGGACATGTGTTGCTCATGCCCGACCACCGGCTGCCTCGACGTGCTATGTTTTATGGTGTAGGAGTAGGTTGGAAGAAAGCTAGGGGCGGCCAGACCAAAATATGGCACAAATCCATGAAGTCACTGACAAGTGGACTGAGCCATGTTGGTAGATGCAGACTACTTGGTTGGGGACCGCGAGATGATAGCAACCGATGGTTAGAGACCTTGAATGACATGGCTCAAAATCGTTTGCAATGGTGGAGGTGCATCCACTCTTTGTGTTCTCCCAAATTATAATCTTCTGAATTCTTCATGTCCTTTATTTTCTTTCCAAATTTATTCCACTGGATTATACTCCTTAAATAACATCATTAAACCTTAATGTTCCCTATTACTACTTATACTTTCACTACCTCTACCACTATGGGATTTGAATCGATAACTGAATCCCTGTGCTAATGTGGTATGGCAACTCGAACTGTTGTACGTACGTACAAAGTTCCACGTTGTTACTGACTGACTGACTGAGAAAATGGTCTGAAGGCTGGATTTCGTCAGCATCTTTACCAAATAGAACTATATTATTTGTTCATTCCAACCAACAAGTGAATCTCCTGATAGAAAATCAACCCCTGAAGTGTTTGGTCAATAAAGTCGAACGCTATCTTAATGTCAAGGAATACAAATATAGTCGGACATCATCCCAGAACCTTCTTCGGGGTGAATAATTAGTCTGTATATCTACATCCAGGATTTTGTATATCATTCCAAACTACCTCGGAGTAGAAATGACTTTCATGGTTGAATTATTCTTTCTCTAGTTGTTTCTGAAATATATTCATAGCTTTCTTATCATCACGTTGAATTCTAGAGGGTTTTCTTGCTGTGCCTTTTCTCCGTCCAGTAATACACAGACAGATACGTGCTCGAACTACTGCTTGATTCGAGTCTAGAAATGTGCTTCAGAATGAGCAGCAGTCTTTAATCGAGTACAACCAACGATGGCTGATGGCCATGTGATCCATTTAAGCACATCGATGAGTCGTTTGTAGAGTTCCCACACCAAACGATGTTTCTCCTTATGTTTAAAGTTGATACTTGCTATAAATAGTTAGTTATCTGAGCATAGTTGTAACAAACAGTCGCCATTTTCTGTTCACTGAGCCGCAACACTGTAAGATCCGCCTAAGTGCCTTTCTGTTCGGTTTAGTTTACCTGAGCATTAAAAATCACCTGTCACCATTACTACATCAGAGGGTTTAGCTTTTTGAAAGGGGTTGTATAGTTTCCTATAACATTCATCATCTGCTTCATCCGAGCTTCAATCTGTGGGATCATAAGCAGAGACAAAGAAGAGAATACGGTGTGTGTCTCTGTCCTTTCAAGTTGTTATTGTTCCGTTTAGTTGGGCAATACATACACTATTGTCTACTGAAAAGCAGTCTAGATAAGCCAGTTCTACTTTTGAACTTAGTGATACATCTACGCCAGCTAAGCCATGGGAAGTGATAATAGGATCTCCAGGTACTCAAGGGGTAAATCGTATGGATTCTGGATGTTGATAAGGTGGGGTCAAACGAATGACTGTACTTGGATCCTGTATGCACTCATGGGCGACGCAGCATGCGTCGATGGAGCGAGATTCTGGAGTCTTAGCTAAAAATGTGTTGTCCTATGTGACAGAAGGTTTGAACATTAAAAGCTCCGACATGTGGTTTACAAAGTGGTTTTAGGAGACCAAAAATAACATTTCATGAACCTTAATCATTAACATTGGTAGCGCGTAGGAATAAGGATAAGTGGGAAAGGTTGGTCGTGAGGATGGAAGAATTATTAAAGGGTGAATAAGGGATTCGATGGTGAACAGTATGATTTCGGATGCTGTTAAAAGTATGAGGGCGGTTGTTACTTACTGGTTGCTCACATGGTGGAAGGATATTTCTTCTTGAGGGACCTGTAAAAGAAGCTGAATTAGTGGTGGCTTTAGCGGCCTGGTAGCTTGACTGCAGAGTCTAGGGGTTAGCATCTTGAGGCCGGTGGCACACGGCCTTTTTATGAGACGTTTTTAATGCGTTAGCTTCGCACATTAAAAGACGAGTTTTTATATCGTAGATGTTGATAAAATTGTGAGCTTTTTCGAGTTCATATTACGTATCTTTATCACAATCATCGCCCCGAGTTACAAAGCTTCCCTACCATCTCACTGTCTATGAGTAAAGTCGTGACGAAGACAAAGAGATGGAATAATAAATTTTTGTCACTTAGTCAGGTGCCACTATACCACTGTGTACTGTCATGAAACCTTCTGATGATATTTCAATTTGGTCAGTACTTGTGAACAAAATGATTTAGAAACCTTGAAGGAGCTGGTACTCCATGAAGGGATATTGACTAAATAAATTATCACACTGAGAATGAAGTTTTCATAGTTCCAATGTGTTGTTAATTTTAACAAGATTGTATATGATCGCAATCATTTCATAAAAAAAGCATAATACTAACTTACTATCATATGGATTTTTATAAATATATCCAACTACACTTAGACCTAAGCCTTGATCCTTTGATTTTGTTAATTGTACAGTGTGAATTTCCGTTTCTTCTGTCTCTTCATCGCCACTTTTTTGTTTATTATTAACATGAATTGATAAGCCCTGTTGACTTATATTCTCAAGAACATATTCATTGAAAGAAGATGAAATATGATTATCAATGGAGTAGTTTTGATAATTCAATGTTGTGTTGCAATCGATTTTTAAATTTTCATTATATTTATCTTGATTGAATAGATTTTATGAAAAAGAATAATAAAAGCAATTATTTGTCACTGACATGAAATTACTTATTAAAAAAACTCATTTTATAGAGCAGTTAATAAAACGGAGTTGATTTGAAAAACGTGATGGATGTACGCTGTACGTTTCAAACAATATGAACAAACATATACTTGTCAAGGCATTAATAAAGATCAATTAAATAAAAGATTCAATAAACATGAAGAGATAATTGTATAGGAAGAGAAAAAAATTAATGTAATATAGAATGACATTATTATACGCGTATTTTTTTTAATTTTTTTAATAACAGGTCTTTTCAACCCATTTAAAGATTCTTTCATCCCCTTTTTTTGCAGTGGAGTCAATTGTTTTAAAATTGGAATCATTGGTCATTATTTTTTTAGGAGGAATATAAAAACAAAGAACAACTTTTGGCTTGATATATTCTAGTAACTATAAGCATGAGTAATTAAGCATGCACTAGCATAGTGATTTCGAACACAGTAATAGGCTCAGAAAGTGCGTTCCGGATAACCAATTTGTGTATTGAAATGAACGAAGTTCAGGGAACTACGCCTTATCTTAAAGTTACATCACTTCCCTGGTAGGATTTCAGAAATTTCAGCTGGACGAAGACAATAATCTGCATTATGTAGTTGAACAAAAAAAGTGTGATGTATTTGCGTTCATTCATCTGAACAATTTGGTCAAATAAACTCCACCTTCCCATTGTTCTGTCAAAAATGATAAAAGGGACTAATTGTTTTACATTTGTATTACCTTTAATTTGCCATTGCTGATTAAACTGATTTGTCTACTTGCTGCTTAAATGCACTTGATTTTGATGAAACATGAAGAACCAACACCGAATATTCATTTCTCTTTTAAATTTTGGCTCTGGATATAAATCTAATGGAATTATCCAGTACCTTCACCCATCTTAAAACTTCTGCCCTACGGTCTCCATTTCTGTTACGGAAGATAAACCGGTAATAGCTGTTGAAATAAGGCTTTTATGAAATCGCATAACCTTTTATGTTGAGTACATCTGTTTCTTAACATCTCGTAAAGGGTATTTTGTTGAATGTATTATCTACAATTTTAATTAAAATTGTAGAGCGTGAGATCGGAAATTATTTAGTTGTTCCCCCGTTTGATGTTTATAAAGAACGTGGACAGGTAAATAATAATTTTTAATGTATTACATCATATTATAATATGAAAAATTACTTATCAACGGTTGAAGCATTAAATGACTCGTTTTATCTGTGTGTATATAAGGATCAATTATTACCAGAATACAATACGAAGAATAATTTACCATTAGTCATATGGTGATTGACAGATTGAAAAAAACCCTGTTTAGAGTCACCTACACAATTATTTAAATTTTTTGTTACCTTTCATTGTGTTGGGATTTTCGTATATCACTAATCACTATTTCTATTTTACCTGGTGTATATGGGTTTTTTATGCATCTGTGAATCGAGTGTTGTTGATGTAAAGTTAGCACCACCCATTGACATTAAAGAAACGGTGGTTTCTTCTTTAGCATTAAGGATAAATTTTAAAGGTATGACAATAAATATTTTCAAACATAGTGATTGATTTAAGCATTATCAAAATACGTGCTCAATATGTCTAGCTGTATCTTGTCATATATAATGACATAACATACTATGAAACAAACTATCTCTGGCTGGAATACGTCAACACATGAATCTGAACTACTGATAGTGTTATTGCTAGAACTCACTGTTATTGAAAGGGCAATCGCTGAACAAATTATTGGCTTTTATATTCGTCTTAAAGCAATAATAATAACAAATAATAATACCACTTACAAAACTATGATTATTGCGAGACAGATATGAGGAGTACAAAGGGTAAGAGGTGTGTAAAAAATTGTCCAATAATGCGTCGGCGGATGTGAACAATAAATCTGAACTAGTTATTTTAATTATATGTGCAAAATTATATTTGAAATAATCTCAGCGATTGAAATTTAAAAATAATTCCAACATTTCGTCCGATAAACTTATCTGAACTTCTTCAGGGTAATAGTGAAAATTAAAATCATCAAAGAATGATGATATAGCGTGTTAACAATCAAATCAGATCAAATCTATACTGTGCTAATCCAATCATATTTGGATATTGATTTTAGTCAACACGATAACATGAGTCAGTTAAATGAGAATTCTGTGAAAAGTTCACGAAGTGGAAATAAACGACTGAATGAATTGTCTGTGTGTGTATGATTGAGTTATTAATGATTGATATTCGGTGTTAATATGTTTTTATATGAAGGAATAAACAAATAAAATAAAATAAAAATGCAAGTTAAAGGTTGAAAATTGTTTCTGAATCATTGACGTGTACATATAATGACTTCTATATACTCGGCGGCAAATTTTTGTCAAACAATTCGTTTTAATATTGACGAATATTCGTATACAGTTATTTTAATGTTATTCGAAATATTTAGTGTAAATAGTATTGCATTAGCGTCACAGTGATTTTTCTTAAATACTAAGAATTTGTTCATCTCATCAAAAAAAGTTTTTCATCCCGTTTTGTTCAATGTAGTGCATAGTGTTCACTAGTGACTAGCTTCAAGATGCATTTCCTGGAGTTCTAGTGAGAAGTCGTGATCAGTGGAGTCCAATCCGTGTCGGTTGGAGACAGTTATTCATTTTAGACAGTAGATGAAGGGACGCGCAAGATCATGGATTGATTGAAGTTAGACATTAACACCGTCGGATGATGGTACAGCGGTCTAGAGGTTAACTGTTTGGGCGCGAGATCGAAGGTCCTGGGTTCAATTCCCGCGTGCAGGATCGTGGACGCGTACTGCTGAGCAGTTCTATGCTAGGACGAAACGGCCATCCAGTGCTTACAGGTTTTCAGTGGTGATCTAGCTTAAATCAACTCGCGAATTCAACTATTAAAATGAACAGTTTTAAAAATGAAGACGTTGGCTATTCTTTTTTGAAGTGATATAATGGAATAACTCCTCCAACTTTTACCTTCCTCTAAAATATGGAAGTCATAAGTTAGCAAACACTAGCTGTATGGCTTCGAACGTTGTCATGGTCACGCAAAATGTGATCTTGACTATGTTGTATCTGGCAGCATCTCAATCCCTTAAAGAACTCTATCAAATGAAAGGGCAACTTATTGTCAATTAAGAATCAGAGAACATAAATTAAATCTAAGTTGAGAAAATAGTCAAAGAGTAACCAAATTATCTGCCAATTCTATTCTATGAAGTTGATCAGCTTTTTAATAATATTTCCTGAAGGGATACATCCACTATTCGTGTTTCCCGAAATTTTTGAACGATATTTGGCTGTTGTTCGTGAGCATGTGCACCATAATCATGAATGGGATTCCCTAAAGTACAACAGAAGTATATCTCAACAAGCATCACCTCTTATGTCAGGTACATGTCATTCAACATGTCTTAAAACAGATATGTTACTCTTCGATTGATTTTCAGCTGTAATTGAAACTGTAGAGGTCGCCATCATGAAATATTCATCTTTTTCTTCGTTTAATGTTGACTAAAAACGTGAACAAAGAATCACAAATTTTAAACAGAAATGGGTTTTGGCTAATAGTGGAATCCAGGGCGGGCGCTTAGTCCTTTTCGGATAATTCAAATGGATATACCTGCATCCTAGAGTTGATTTTCACTCTAGGACTCGACCTTAGTACCATTTGCTTCAAACGCCATCAAGTCACCCACTTAGGTACTGAGTCCAAATAGACACTGCCTTGTCCAACAGGGTGAAAATAGGACGTACAAATGATGATATCGTGGTAATCCTCATAAGATGTATATACGCCAAAAGGAAATGATTAATTGTGGACCTCTACATCAATGTGAAGATCTAAGTAACCGATATATATGAAATGAGTTTTAAGTATTAACAAGTTTTTCTTCTAGTTCCCGAAATTATCTTTCTATGATCGAAACACCAGACATCAAGTTTCATCTATGTATACGAGACCACTTATTATAAGAGTAACTCAAATGGCCTAATGCAGTGCGACTGGCTGCCTAACTTTTAGAACAAAACAATACCAGTTTCACGGAAGCGATATAAAAAAAACTTTAAAGTCCTACAAACTGACATGTAGTGTTTCCGTATTCAAATCAATTTTTACTGTGCTTCTGAGGACTGAATACTGAATGAAAGCACATGTTCAAAATATACAGATTGTAATAACAAAACGATAATTGAACGTCAACCTCAAATTTATTTCCTTCCAGACAAACTGACAGTTGCTGTATGTTAATGACTGAAGTGTCAATCACGCCTAACTGTGACAGAGATCATTGCATCATTCAACACGTTCACAGTCATTGGTGTATCAGGCACTTACAGTGTATCCGGCAATCCTAACCACTGTTCCGAAAACGGATTGCCATACCGGTATCTTATGTTCCATTACGCACCTATTAACTAAGAAACGTGTGCAGAATTCATTAGTGTAAGACGGTTGCCCCCAAATGCCCTGGTACGGCCGAGAGTGGGGAGAGTCCGCTCTCCCTCTCGAAATGCTCTCACATGGCCATGCGTATATAGCCTCTGCCAGGGAAGTCCTACTCACTGCCTTCTCGTGGCAGGGGTGTTGTTTACAAAAATGAGAGGACGAAAAGCGAATGTCTGGCGCTTTAACCGGATCTCAAACCAATGGTGCACATGGGCTCCAGTATCCTGAAGGAACAAATGGCGTATGAACCAATCGTTAGTCACCGGCTACCATGGGACTGCATCTCCTCACGATGCTCCACTGCCTTGTGGGTCAGACGTCCAGGTCGAAGGCTCGGGGTGTGGCCCTCTAAGAAAACCACCTGCTTCGGTTTGGGCACCCGGGCAGTATCACAGCCCTCACACAAATTAATTGAGATTCGTGTGGCGCATATGTATTTGGTGCCTCCCTGTACCTATACTTATGTGTTAAAATAAATAAAAAAAAGTGTAAGACGGTTACCGTCTGACATCAACCTCTCAAATGTGGCTGTCAAAACATATTTCCCTGTCCCAAAATTCGGACCAATTCCATTTTTCACTGCTCGATCAAAACTTATCAAAGGGTGTGATTACCTTAAAATATGTATGTAAAATAATTATTGTATGCAGGCAATAAAAATAGAAGTAATAAAATTCGCGGATGATTTTGAATTTCATTGAGTATTTACCTAAGAAACTCGAGATACATGTTTCCTTGAATATACCATCACTTTATCACATAATAGTAAGCCATCCATGGAAATATTGAGTTCCAATAGCTACTTCCTACTTAACGAATCATATGAGATTGTTGAAAATTCGAGACAGTAGATCCTGTTTGACATAGATCCTGTACTATTTGAAACTGGTCAAAAAGTGGTTTACTTAATATTGAGAGACTTATGTTTTTGATTTGGTCTCAACTTCGGTCATTCAGTGTTATGACCAGCAATATTAATACAGCTAATACTGAACTTAAATAATTCAAGAGACTAAACAGTTCAGTAATGACAACTAGCTTCATGAACATAATGAATGGTAACTTTTGTGATCCATTTATGGACCAATACTATGAGTATACTTTTATCGTATAGTTGTTAAAGAACTAAACTATTCATATTCATGTCCCTCTTATTATGAGCTTTATTTTGACCCATGAACTATTATTATACGATTTATCATTCTTGAATTATGCCCTGTCTATTGATAACTACCTCGCACATTCACGGCCAGATTTGGCCGAATCTTGTACAAATGTTGTTTCCTATTTTACTGGCACAATGTGGTCTGTTTGATTGGTATATAAACCCCGTATGCTTGAAATAAATGGTTCATACTGCAGAGGCTGAGATTGGTGATCTGGACTCAACTGGCTGGGCTAGGCGGAAAGCAGGACCAATCAGGACTCTAGGCCGCTCGTACGGGTTTTACGCGCCATTGATCCGATCGATAATCCACTGCTCCCGTATTGGCGATATCGTTACGTTATACATCAACAGAGCACTCAGGCCACAAGTTATAACAAAATGGAACAAATATTTCATCCACAGAGTAATACTAATGATTCAAGAAATATCGGTCTAGATGAGTAAAAAGATAAGATTTACTCTTAGTATTAACCATTTGCTTCAACAGACAATGTACTTAGCCCATTAGTATAGGAATATAATTACAAATGAAGATATCAGAGCTGCGTGGCACAATAAATCACAGACAATACCAATATAAGAAACCAGCTTTTTTATTGTAGAATAGTTCCAATATGCCTATTGCTATCTAGACCTGATGTCCGTGTTTATCTAAAGAGCTAAAGTGAATACCCTAAAATTACACAAGGATATAACTTTTTGAAAATCACTACAAGCGACGAAATACTACTTATCATGCAAAACAAAAGCAAAGAAAACATAGATAGATCGGTGGTTAGTTAGTTAGTTATTTAAATAAATAAATATTACACACCAAAAATCAATCGAAACTCCACCCGGATACAGTGATATTTTTATGTCTTTTATTCACACCTAGTAATATTCATATTTGAATTGATTAAACTTAGTAGATCCTGACAACAGTTAGTCAATAGTTTGGTATTCCTTCGGAATATTGAATCGATCTAAGTTGAACTAATATTGAAAAAATGAATGCACTGGACAGTCATTAATTCTCAGTATTTAACTCTTCAGCAGTGAGTATCCACAACCCCGAACGTGAAAATCAAGCTCAGGTCCTTAGGTCTAACTTGCAAACACTTAACCTGGAATACTAAGGTAATGGATGCTAATCACAAGGATCTTTGTAAATAGTGTATGGCGAAATGTGGTGTAAAAGTGGCAACAATTGTCGAATAAAGTGAAGACTTTCAGTGCTTTGAAGGTACGGCATTCGCAGTGCACTTGGAGGCCTGTCTAGAAGAAAGTTCAGTTTTCGGAACACACTGGAAGATGCGAATAGGCAGTTGAAGGTTATGTATATGCATTATGTAAATACTTTGTAACTGCTCTTTTCCTCCTGCCTATTGTCGTGCTTAACACTAGAATGAAACGGCCTTACAGCGGTCCTGGGTTTTCAGTGCTGATATAACTTGGATCGCTTCAAAATTTCAATGAGATTCAACAACCTCCACAAGTTCTAACTGACAACAACTGGATAAATTAACACAGTTTAAAATTTCACGATAACCACCACGTGAGCAATATGAAATCAATTTTGAGCATCACTCGTACGCAAACCACATAAGACTTTAACCATCATATCAAACACTCCTCAAAGAATGTAGTCATTAAATACAATTAAGTCGCACTTCGTAAATAATACATGATAAGTGTATTACTTTAAAAATGTTTAAACTTACTATCTATGCGATCATTTTCAATAACTCGACTTGGTTGATTATTGCGAATCTCTTCAATATCAGATTCTGAGCAATTTCGAGGACTTGTTATAACCTGAAGTGTCGAGCATGGCTTCATCTCTCGAAACTGCTGAAACTAAAGTAACAAAACTGGTTATAATTTTCACGTATAATGACTTCTCTATACTTGGCGCCCAATTTTTGTCAAACTATTCGTCCTAATATTGACGAATATTCGTATAAATTATTTTCCAATCGAATTAAATTATCAGAGAAAAAAAATACATAACTGGTACTATCACAGAATTTTTAATCTACGATGTCTAATACAAAATGTTTTTTCCTAAATCTCTGATGGCCAAATCGCTACAAAATGCTTAATTCAAACCTAGGAATATTTATACAATAGCGTTTCAGAGAAGGGTGTAAAAGACGGTTCTGATTTTGCAGTATGTGTAATACATGTTCGCCTTTTTTGCGGTAATGAAATTTACAGACAAACTGATTGCATGGTGGAGAACTTATCTGTAATGATTATTTTAACTAATAATTTTTTCCCCAAGGTTATAAAATAGATAAGTCTATCAAAGAGGCTTTTGAGAAACTGGATATACTCTGCTGTTATATCAACAATGTATTCGATATTGTTAATTAAAACATTCATAAAAACGAGTGTCTTAGAGAATGTTAAAGTATACACTCCTCACTCACAGAGAAAAAACTGATGATAAATTATATTTTTCGGCATCTTAGTATACAAGCGAATAGATAGATTGATTAGTCAAAGTATGTATGTAAATAATATATCTACTTGTCAATACACTTGTTTCTTTAGCTTCATATTTATTCCATATATTATTAAACTTAATGAGATGACTTATGAACGGAGCTAGGAAAAACTGTTTGAACAATATTGTATAAAGAAATTGGAGATCACGCACAAAATATTCACTGAAACAGGTTATCTTGGAAGTCTTTTAAAAAATCATATGAATTAAACGAACAGGAAATCAGATGTATTGACTATTAGTAAAATGTGTACGATATATAAATAAAAATTTCACTAGAAGCTTTAAAATAGAAAGGTGAAAAGGCAATACTCTTATCATCATTATCATCATAATAACTTACATCAAGATCAGATTGTTCTTGTTGTTTCGATGAAGTTGAAGAAGATTCAATGATTTTATTCATTTCTATCAACTCACTTCCAGTGTAGTCGATTGGCTTTGATAATTCAAAACATCCAACTTCATTTGAATTAATTTTTTCATAAATATCAGTATTGTTTTCAATGTTCAATAGATCTGTTTTGTATAGACTGTACAAATCAACAAGTGGAAGTTTCTTGTGTAGTAATACATCTATATATTGATCTATTTGATGTGTTGGTATAATCCTACAAAGTAATAGTATCATATAGAACGTTAAATAAGTAATAAAGACTCAACTTAAGAGAAACAGGTATTTAGTGATCCCGATAATAAAATAATGTACTTCCTAAATTTAGAGTTAATTTTTATCATGGATCAACATCAAGTATGGGAACCAAAACAAAATTAAGCAGCACTGGATGAACGCTTCGTTCTATTTTGAGGTTTCTTCATAGTAATACTAAGAACAGATATAGAAGGCAATTGAGTTAATAGCAAGCCTGGTGCAGTTATGTCAGCGAATCAATATTCAGTTATTTGTACTTTAAAATGCAATCGACTTATTCTATTGAATGATTCGAAACCAGTCACATTATTCTTTACTTGGCAACGTTTTACAAATAGGAAATAGATCTTAAAATTACTCATCACGACACTATTGATCATTGTTGAACAATCGAGTGGATGGAACTGGTCGTCATACATCAATCTTATTAACTATGGGAAAGCATTTCACAGTGTGGATAAGAGAATCTTGTGGAAGCTTTTTAGACACTATGGTGTACCTGAAAAAATTTTCATTATCGTACGGCAGTCTTTATACATCTCTCTTATCATATAGGCTCCTTAGGTGGATGTCTCAACATCGCCTGTCTCTACAAGTTGATTATATTTTGGACAATGACTAGAAATCTAATCCAAGAAGTAATTGATATGATGGGAAGAAAATTCAATATTCGATCGATTTACTCAATATGAGTTTTATTCATCATTACATCCTTTTTGATTCAATGTAATGATTACGCAATGTAGTTTTTGTTTTCTTTTCTCGTATGATATTTTATTCTGTATAACATACAATATTCTTGTATTCCATTGACTATGAACTATACTCAGCATATGATTTGTTATAACTGTGAGTATTTTTCATGCATGTGATTTCATTCTAATTATTAATCAAAATGGGTGTACAATCAATATATAAACGAGTGTATTTTCTACTAGAATCGTTTGTTTTCTGTTTGTTGCAGAATATACTTTCCATTCTAAGCTTGGACTTCTCCCTCTAGATAGCGGGGCTGGGGCGCATCAATAGCTAGCTTACTGGTCTTTTGTCACCGAGTCTCGTTCTCGTTCGCAGATTAAGTGAACCCGTGATAGCTTCAAACCTAACAGTAATGTATACTGTGTTCGAGTCTTAATGTGGACATTAACAACGGGATCTAGGTACATCCAAATGAGTATACAAAATAGGGTGCAATACCCATTCTAAATCTCACTATGATCAACTATCTACAGTATACTGTTTTATTTTTAATTTAAATAGTTACTAAGTTACTTCAATGTTAACAACGAACGGAATTCATGTCATATGAAGAACCGTGTTTATATCCGTTGCTTTGAAATTTACACAAAACATTATACATTAATAGAATTGACCATTTTTGTCTTACGTCAGCATTCCAAGAACACCATGGTGATGACAAACTGCTTGCTGCTTTAAACTGATATCATTCAAATCAACAGGATTACCATTAGCTGGACGAGCTACAATCATTCGAATTAAAACTGTTTGGTCGCTCATTAGTTTTTGATTGGTCTCGTTAGACTCAATTTGTTTTAAATCTATTTGGCTTGGGGATAAAGTATACTTTTCCGATCGTATATTAGTAGTATTAGTAAAAGTTGATGAAATTCTGTTTGTTAATGGCTGCGTTCCGATAAGTGAAGTTTTTTTATTCATAGTTTTTGTGGATGTTTCATCCATCTGCAGAGAATCTTGTTTTAATACACCTTCAGATACACAATTTGATATAGTTTGGCGTAGAACTGTAGCCACTTGATCTGGTCCATAACTCCGAACATTATGATCACGAATGCAGACAATATGGTCACCAAGTCGAAGACGACCGTCCTTAGAAGGAATCAGTATAAACGATAAGAAACAAATGAGGTAACATTATCAGGTATAACACTTAAGATCACATGAATTATTAAAAATTAAACACTAAGAAAAATTTATGTTACCCCTTACTTTAGAGATAAAGCATAATAACCAAGTCGTGAACAGTCACTACGGACAGGATCATACATTAACTTCTTGATAATGTAGTAGGAAATGAGCAATAATCAACACGTTACATCTTAATGTGAAAATGACATCCACTCAGACATATCAATGCAAGGGAAATAGAATCGATGAGAGAAAACCATAGTTATAGTTTGTTGCTACGCAAATAACTCACTGGAATTAGGAATTCCATAGTTACACAAGTGATAACTAGCCACTGATAATTGTATCCATATATCTCTCTGAATCAATTCGTTTTTATGAATCAATATACTTCTTAATCAATGATGATAAGAAAGAATCCCGAGTGACTGTTATCATTACTGAACAAAATACAGAGTGATATCAACTGAAGTCTTGTCGAAAACCAGAGAATGATAACTGTTTCATATAAATAACGCGCATCCAAAACCTTTCGAAGAATGGAACTCTATTCGTACAAGATTCGTAGCTAAAATTTATTTTAAACTGTGCAGAGTACCTGTAAAGCTATTTTGACAAATACTTTGAGGTTCATTTCCTGAATCGCTAATAAACAATCGTGTTCTATGTAGTCAATTAAGTTGTGAGCTCCTATTGAACAAGCAAACATTAATGACATTGACCAATGTAAATGCTAACAAGCTTCAAATCAACTAGAAATTCTAAGAAAACATCCAATAAAGATCCTAGACTCTCATAAGTATAGTTAGAAAACATTGCGTAAACATGACTTTAAATCTCTGTAATGAAACTAACCTACTTTGTAAACAACTTCAACTGTCACTGGTTAACCTACTAATCTTAGTAAGCTAACAGTTGTTATCACTAAAGTGAATATTTAGTCTAATGAAAAAATAATTTCCACAGGTTGAATAAAATCATCAAACAAACGATTGCAATCTCAGTTTATTGTTTGGTAAGAATTTTTCGATATTCTACGGATAAATTATGTATGATAGAATTAAGCACATCAGAAGTGTATGACGATTGTCTACCAATGATATTTGACTGTGGATTGTATGATATCTCAGAGTGGAAAATAAAATCCGGTAAATTTAAACCAGGAAACCTGAAAGTCTCGGATCCATAATAATAAAGAATTAATAACCTAAAATGAACTATTCATCCGTTCATTCTAAGTTATCAAATGTTTTTCACTTAATGCCAATCATTGATCCCAAAATGTTAGTAAACTTTTAACAATACATAATAGTCCAAGTAGAGTTTTTGTCTTTAATATTGTCTTACCAATTCAGCCGCTCCACCAGGTGTAATGCATCTAACGATTACACCTGTGCTCTTACTTCCACACATACCAAATCCAAGATGTGTTGTATTATCAACTATCAATTCGATTACTTCTATCTCTGTCCAATCTGTATTTAGCTACAATAAAAATATTTGTAAAGTGTGAATTAATATACTGATTGAGAACATGAATAAGATGATAGTTTGCTTAGATAGAACAACTAATTTTTCACGATTAAAAAGCTAAGGGGCTAATTTTTATTATTCAGAATAGAGCTATAGCTAATATCAGAATGGTTGAGCGAATGGAACGAAACAAACGTCTACAAACGAGATATCGATTCGTTAACTTTCAAAGCTGTACTCATTACTGACTAACTTTGAGATGAATTCTAGAGGTTCATGTGAAAAGCCATGACTGGTGGAGTTTAGACATTTTAAGAGTAAGACAGATATCATCAATGACATTGTACAATAATTTTACTGTATTGCGAGTTGACTGCGATTAGAAATGTAGATTAGATGTTGAAGAGTCAGTTTGCCAATGGTATTGTGGTGTGTGCTACTTATGTAGACATACGTAGCACAGACTGCAGAAAAGAAGAATGTTGTACGGCGAGCATGAACCATCGTAAGAACGACTACTTTAAAGGGAGGACGAGTGTGGTGTGTGCTACTTATGTAGACATAAGTAGTATATTACGCGAGTTAGGAACGTAATGTTTGGCAGCAGAAGATGGGGAAAGATCAAGAAAGGAAGAGCGGTAACACAATGGAATTTGTATGGAAACGTATGAACAATGAAATGTTAGACAATCAACTGATGTTTGCAACAGGAACAGTCCAGTTTGATATGATGGATTGATATTTTGCAAATTAACGATTTACTATATGATTTTAGATTTTATTAACAAATGCTGTAATTTGTTGTCAAATACATTTGATTGTCCCCATTGGTGTTCCTATTCTCTACAGTATTATACTCCTCATGAGGATTGAGGCTCCTGGTCTCTATCTCTAGCTTTATTTCCGATAGCTGTTAGGCAGTGATGTGAACTATCCTTGATAACTCACCATTCATCACTGAAAGTTAATTTGAAAATCGTTTGAAAATAATTCACATATTACTAGTTATTTGGTTTTAATTTAATATCCGTCTAAACCAGCAGCGTTCAAGACAGTTATTAAATTTATTAAAAATCTAATCACGACAGGTGTTATACTGTTTGTTTAAACTCAGTTGAGAGAATAGATTTTCCGTGTTCAGAACATTCTAATTCTCCTAACAAAAATAGTATCTGAACAGTTATAACTAGTGATTTGCTATCTATCCTTTAGGGCTAACCGAATTCTATAGATCAAGGTATAGTGCGGTCACCAGTCTAAGAAACCCAACATCGTGACATAAATACTTAGTTCCGTGTGTATACCATCTATTAAAATAACAATTCTATAACTCCGCCTGTAGCTCTCCTAGAGTTACTGCCGGTCCCAAGCCCGGATAAAGGAGGAGGGTTGGGCATGGGGTTAGCGTCCCCATCCCGTAGAAAACTAACTCGCTAAAACACGCTAACCAGAAAAAATAATTCAAACCATTTAAACTCTGCCCTGGGAGTTAGAAGGTCTTCATTTAGAAGAAATATGACGCCTCAGGGTGAAAGCCGAGTTCCTTCGGAAGCCATGAGGCCGATGCCACTTCTAACAACCAGAGCAACAATTTTTATAGGTACATGGAACGTCCGGACAATGTGGGAGACCGGGAAGACCAGTCAAATAGCAACGGAAATGAGGAGATACAACTTGGCAGTACTGGGAATCAGCGAAACCAATTGGACCCAAGCTGGACAACTGTTATAACGTGTGATCCGCCTATTGGAGAGCAGCCTATTATCGATCGAAACAGTGACGCACAAAATACGAGCGAGCAGCCTAGAGTCCTGATTGGTCCTGCTTCCCTGTCTAGCCCAGCCAATTAAGTCCAGAACACAAGTCTCAGCCTCGGAGATATGAATCATTATATTTCAAACATACTCTGTTTATATAGCAATCAAACAGACTACATCGTACCATAAAATAGAAAGTGACATTTGTACAGGATTTAACCTTCAGGAAATGACACAAATAAATATTGACCAATAAGGAGATGACACGTTGGGAGAATGTTGATCAATGGGGAAATGACACTACTTCTCATTCAGGAATAGCACTAGATAATTTCTGGGGTATTTTCTGAATACCCCAACAACAACAAAGGCTAAATACGGGAGAGATGCTGCTATACTCTGGTCACGAAGAGGAAAATGCTCCACACACTCTGGGAGTTACTTTATTGCTGTCCAAAGGAGCACGAAATGCACTTGTAGGATGGGAATATCACGGATCCAGAATCATCAAAGCATCATTCAAAACAAAGAAGGAGGGGATCACAATGAACATTATCCAGTGTTATGCACCCACCAATGATAGGAACGACGAAGTTAAAGATCAATTCTATGAGAGGCTGCAATCAATCATAGAGAAGTGCTCAAGAAAAGACCTCACCATTCTGATGGGAGATCTAAACGCCAAAGTTGGAATAGACAACACCGGATATGAAGATATCATGGGACTACATGGACTGGGAGAGAGGAACGAAAACGGGGAAAGATTTGTAAATCTGTGTGCATTCAACAAATTGGTCATAGGAGGCACAATGTTTCCACACAAACGTATACACAAAGCTACATGGATCTCACCGGACCACTCCACAGAGAACCAGATAGATCATATTTGCATCAATAAAAAGTTCCGAAGGACAATGGAAGATGTGAAAACCAGGAGAGGAGCGGACATAGCTTCAGATCATCACCTGGTTGTGGCCAAATTGAAACTGAAGCTAAAGAAGAACTGGACAACTGGACAAACAGCTCTGCAAAGATTCAATACAGCCTTCCTTCGAGATACTGACAAACTCAATGAATTCAAGATAACTGTCAACAACAGGTTCCAAGCCTTACATGATCTATTGAAGGAAGAAGATAGTATAGAGGATAGCTGGAAAGGCATAAAAGAAACATTAACTTCAACATGTGATGAGGTTCTGGGCCCCAAGAAGCATCATCACAAGGAATGGATCTCTATAGAAACACTGGACAGGATCAAAGAAAGAACGAACAAGAAGACAGCAATTAACAACAGTCGAACAACAGCAGAGAGAGTCCAAGCACAAGCAGAGTACATAGAAGCAAACAAGAAAGTGAAGAAGAGCATTAGAGCTGACAAGCAAAAATACGTGGAAGAACTAGCAACGACGGCGGAAAAAACTGCAAGAGAAGGAAATATGAGACAGCTTTACGATACGACGAAGAAGCTAGCAGGGAAATACAGTAAACCAGAGAGACCAGTCAAAGACAAAGAAGGAAGACCAATCACTGAGATTCAACAACAGCGGAACAGATGGGTAGAGTACTTCGAGGAACTCCCGAATAGGCCGGCTCCAATGAATCCACCGGACATCGAAGCAGCACACATAGATCTTCCTATAGATGTCAATCCACCAACGACCGAAGAAATCAGGATGGCCATCAGACAAATCAAGAGCGGGAAAGCAGCAGGACCTGACAATATACCAGCTGAAGCGTTGAAGTCAGACATCGAAGTAACTACAAGTATGCTTCATCTTCTATTCAAGAAGATTTGGGAGGAGGAACAAGTGCCGATGGACTGGAAGGAAGGACACCTCATCAAGATTTCAAAGAAAGGAGATCTGAACAAGTGTGAAAACTACAGAGGCATTACACTACTGTCAATACCGGGTAAAGTCTTCAACAGAGTGTTACTGAACAGGATGAAAGACACAGTAGACGCTCAACGTCGAGATCAACAAGCTGGATTCCGTAAAGACCGGTCGTGCACAGACCAAATTGCGACACTACGGATCATCGTCGAACAATCAATCGAATGGAACTCGTCATTGTACATCAACTTCATTGATTATGAGAAGACATTTAACAGTGTAGATAGGAGGACGTTATGGAAACTTCTTCGACACTATGGAGTTCCTGAGAAGATTGTCAACATTATCATGAACTCATACGACGGACTACAGTGCAAAGTAGTGCATGGAGGACAGCTGACAGATGCATTCCAAGTGAGGACCGGAGTAAGACAAGGTTGTCTACTCTCTGCCTTCCTCTTTCTTCTTGTGGTCGACTGGATTAAGAAGACCTCGACATCTGAGGGAAAACACGGCATACAATGGACAGCTCAGAACCAATTAGACGATTTAGACTTCGCAGATGACCTAGCCCTCCTATCACATACACACGAACAAATGCAGATAAAGACAGTCAGAGTAGCAGCAGTCTCTGCATCAGTAGGCCTCAACATACACAAAGAGAAAACCAAGGTCCTCAAACACAACACGGAGAACAGCAATCCAATCACTCTTGATGGCGAAACTCTGGCAGATGTGGAATCCTTCACATACCTGGGAAGCATCGTCGATAAACAACGAAGTTCAGATGCAGACGTCAAGGCGAGGATTGGCAAAGCTAGAGCGGCATTCCTTCAACTGAAGAACATATGGAACTCAAAACAACTTTCAACCAATATCAAAGTCAGAATCTTCAATACGAACGTCAAGACAGTTCTACTGTACGGAGCTGAAACGTGGAGAACTACAACAACCATCATCAAGAAGGTACTAGTATTTATCAATAGCTGTCTACGCAAGATACTCAACATCCATTGACTGGATACCATCAGCAACAGCCTTTTGTGGGAGAGAACCAACCAGCTTCCAGCTGAAGAGGAAATTAGGAAAAGACGATGGAAATGGATAGGACATACATTGAGGAAATCATCAAACTGCATTACGAGACAAGCGCTAACTTGGAATCCTGAAGGGAAGAGGAAAAGAGGAAGGCCAAAGAACACATTACATCGGGAAATAGAAGCAGATTTGAAAGGGATGAATAAGAACTGGAAAGAGCTTAAAAGGATTGCCCAGGACAGGGTTGGATGGAGAATACTGGTAAGCGGCCTATGCTCCGTCTCGAGGAGTAACAGGCGAAAGTAAGTAAGTAAGTCTATAATCTCAATGTAATTGATACTACCCTTTGTACTCTGACAAGTATCATATAATGTCACATTCAGGCATATTACCACAAAGTTGTTCGGTCTCCAAATAATTTTTTAGGACCGACATATTCACCCTAACAGATTACTGAATAAGTAAACAGTGATACTCTCTCTGTGATTTGTAGATCACGTAACAAAATAGAGAATAGTACAACATAAGTGATATTACAATATAAGATGTTCCGATCTTAGGCTGTAAGAAGAGGTTGAGATGCAACGGTTGATGCGTTTTTGGTTCCTATGTACACCATAAAAATCATTACAATCTTTAGTACACCTTACTGAGAAAGGTCATCTAACAGAAAATCTAGATTTGGAAATTCTGTAATTATCGATATTTGATTCAACAGTGTGTTGAATTAAAACCAAATAATAAAAACTTACCATTATTTTGACGCTTTTTATCTCAGTTCATTTGGTTAATTCTTTTCTGATTGGAGTGTAAACGTAAACAACTATTTGGAATCAGTTTAACTCTTTACCTATCCATTCTGCTTTCCTCTTACGCTTCTTAGATTTTCTGATTATCCTGTTGTCGACCTGAAATAATCCTATGGTCCTGATAATAAAGTGAGGTAGAAAAGAGTCAAGATAAAAAAATATACACAAAATGGTTAGTTTCAAATTGTTTTTTTGTTAGCCTATAAGTTAATGGGATGGAGAACAGTAATTTCAAGACGTCTCAGAAAACTCCAAAGTACCAAAATAACTTTTAGCCAATCAACACCCTTAGAAGGTCTGCTGAGAAAACCAGTGGCCGTCACGAAGTATCTGGACTACTATTCACTTAAGTATCTGTTAAAAAGGTATCCAAGAATCCAAGTACAGTGGGTACCATATAAACGCCTTTCGATTTCTGTAACAAGAAAATCTGCCGTATTATCGGAATTTTATGTTTCAAGATCTTAATATTTGATTATAGAAAACTGATTAAGAAGTTACTATCGCAATCGTTAAATGTCAACATTATTGTGGGACGATACCTCAACGATTACCTCGAGCATCACCTTTGTACGCCACGTCACCGACTGTTCTTACGATGACACTCGCTACCCATATAGGTCCACACTGTTGAAGGTTTTTTACATAGACTGGCAACCCATTATGAAACTGACGATCAGGTTTCTTCACCTTGGGTTTATAATCTCGTTTTCTTATTTGTGGATACATGTCATCAAATGACGTCCGAATCTTCCTTCCGAACATTGGTTGAGGCTGGATCCCGGGTTATTCTGTATGCTCTCAGGAGATTCTAGATGACCTTCTTCGTCGTGCTCTCCCCTATTGATTTGATGAAAATTCGCCAAAGCGCCCATTCTGGCCGTTTGACTGAGTATGATAGGGTGGTGTGCTATTGCGTCCTTTAAACAGAAGTTCGATATTTTCGACGTGAACTGAGGTTCACTCTCTATAACTAGTGTTTCCGGAAAAGCAAACTGACCAAAAGCTTATTCAGCACCTTCATTTTTGAGGTCGATGAGGTCTGAGGCATTAAACAGATCTGGTCATTTTGCAAATTAGTCGATGATGATAAAAAAAGTTGACTGTTTATTAGCCCAGCGAAATCAGCATGAACATGGGGCCATGGCTTTCCTGAACTTAGCCATAGGAATGACTGTGTTTTCAGTGGCAGTTTTGCGGCGTATGCACATCGTGGCCATTTGTTTACAACACTTTCAATGTCCTTATCCATTAGTGGCCAATATACACATTTGCGTGCTAGTAACTTCATATGATGCACACCAGGATGACCTCAGTGGAGTTGTTTCAATACCCGGGATCTGACGATAGCTAGAATAACCAGGCGTTGCCCAGACAGTTGACAGGAGATGATAGTAGACACAACTCCACGTCGTCGGAAGTATTCTATTAAAACATTATCGACTTTGTTTGGTCAACCGTCATGCGCATACTTCGCGACTTGCTGAAGTTCATAATTCGACAGCCTAGCATCCTGGACTATTTTTGCCGTTACTGGCAAGGTGTCGATCACACCCGACATAACTCTGTTTACTTTTGCTTCAATTGATACTGCCTTAACGACGCAATACTCATCGACTGCTCGGTTTCTGTTTTTTAATCTTGATAACTCACTAGCCTGTTCAAGACTGGTTGTTGACGTATATTTGATAATAAAATCATAACGAGGAAGGAATTTAGCCCACTGCTGCAAGCGATTTTCAGTGTTTATTGGTGTTTATCTATCTAAACGATCTCGAGTCACCGACTGGTCAAAAGTTGAATACTACCACCAAATACGAATTATGAACCAGTCTTTCTAAAACTACGCGTGCCATTCAAACTGGCCCACTTAAACGTTCGCACAATAATCAATATCAGACAACATATAGGGTTGGCTATATCTTTATAAAGTCTTAATATTGACGTCTGTTGTCTATCCGAGACCCGCTTTCAAGACTAGTAAAGTATTACAATTTTGCTTTCCATCTGTTGCTTAGAGAAGCTTGTTTCACGTGTGTTTATCCGAGGACCCTGTGACATTTTCTCCTGGTTTTGCTGGTGTTGGTGTTACACTACGTGCTACAACTGTGACAAATCTAATCGATCGGATGTTGGCGACACTCTAGTAGAAGAACTGAAAGAATTGTCTACAAATGACTGTTAATTATAGAATGTTCTAACGCCATGGAATGAGTCGTTAGTTATCCCTATCTTTAATATGGGTCCACTTCACCCATCCAACAACCATAGGGGGTAAGTTCACTTCTGATGACATCCAAATTATTGGCTGCCGTCATACTTCTCAGGCTGTTCAAAACCCATGAAAGGTTGACTTGCGAGGAGCAGACTGGTTTTCGTTCTAGTCGAAGATGTACTGATTATATCCTCACCCTCTCCCAAATCTTAGAACATCTTCATACTTATTACAAGCCAACAATCGTAGTGTCTTTCGACATCAGGCTCTCCTATGATTCATTGGAAAGGACTGTTCTCTGGGATTGTCTATTGAAGAAATGTGTGTCTAAAAGCCCTATATACAAACACCACTAGCGGATTGGTGGCATACGACCACCATTCTCCATTGTTCTAACCCAGAAGCAAGGTTAGGAAGGGTTGCCAAATCTAACCATTACTTTTCAACTTTGCCATCAATGACGGTCTAAAATCAACTCTGATGGATGCGGGTAATGGTGGTGTCAATCTGTTGTCTGGAGGACTCTTCGACCACGAGTATCCGGATGATATTGTCCTACTGTGCGATGACACATAAGCGATGCAATCTGCACTTAATCAGCTGGGAACCAGTGTCCGTGGGTATGGCATGTGATGTTAGTCTTCCTGTAAAATGTTAAGTTCAAAACGTGACGGTGACAGCAGTTTTTCTCTCATTGATTTGAGGATGTTAAGCAACTCACTGTGTTTGATCATCGTTGTCTCAAAGGATTTCTGACACACTATCAACACCAGGTTTCCCATAAATATATGAGCCAGAATCGAAACCGGACGACTACTGATGGCTACTACATCAATTTGGCGGTACAACACATTGTTGAATTGGAATTGTATGTTTTTGGTACACAGGCACAGGAGCTGTTTTGATTCTTGGGTTGCAAAATGCAGGAGTTCAGGATGATTACACATGATATCTGCCGTTTCTTCTAAAAAGATTTCTGTGAAGAGAGATGAGACATTAAACGATACCATGAATTTATCAGAAGTAATCAAGTTGTCAAGTTTTAGTACAAATTCAAAACTGTTGTTCAGACTGTAGGGTGCTAGTTTCTTATGGATCGGTTCTAAGCACTGAGTCAGTCAGCAGGCAAGTTTACGGAAAGATGATTTGGTCATAGATAATATTGGTCTTGTCGGGATGTTAAGCTTGTGTATTTTAAGTAGGCAGTATAAGTAAGATAATTGTGATCCTTTCGGTTTGAGTTCATTATACGTAAGATTATCGATTAAAATTTTCTTCAAGATTTCTCTCAACTTTTTTAAAAGACACATTTCAGTTTCATCTGTTAAGCCTCCCTGAGTACTATCGATGATAAATCTAGTAGAATCATTTAAAATGGACATTACTTTGCTAATGCATTCATCTCTGTTTAAAATGACTACACCGAAACCCTTATCTGGACGAAGTAGCAATATTGTTTCGTTTTCATAAGTTTTCTCAATGCTTACAAATGATCTTAGGTCAACACCATAGATTACAGGACTGGTGTCGTAACGTACTGATTTGTAATCTAGGAACAGAGAAAAAAATTACTTACGCATCAAGTTTGTTGGTGCCATGACATTAACGCTGATACAAGTCGAAAATCGGAAAATTCTCGCTTGTTTACATACGTTATTGCATAATAAACCTACTTTTCGAATCATTTCCCTGAATCTTATGAATCGTGGCAACGTATTCCTGCGGATTACTGTGACCTGTTACTAAACTCATATTGTGCTTTAGTTGTTATCGACTCTTATTCCAAATGGCCAGAAGTGGTACTAATGAACAGTCCTAGTAGACACTACTCAAACAGCGATAAGGAAATATATCCAGGCGTAAAGGGATATCCAATGTATTATTAATAGACAATGGAAACCATCTACAGAAAAAGTTGGGCAGCTGGCTTACTGACATCGGATGCCGTCATCTATTCACAGCCCCATGACGTCCTCAGTCTAACGGTATAACAGAAAATTTCATCCGAACTTCAAAGAGGGCTTCATTGGATCCAAGCAATCTAGAAAAATGCATCAATAATTCCTTGCTTCATTATCCTAATGCGGAACATTCAAGAAATCGTGACAGTCTGGTTAAACTCTTCAAATCTCGTATACTTCGAACACATTTGGTGAACAAAATATCAGAAGTACAATTTTACCAAAGAAATTACTACCGACTATCTGCGTGGATTATATTACTTAAGAGAATAGGTAGTCGGATGGCAGAGATTCTTGACTCAAGTGACCATTCAATTCACAGCAGACCCTTAGACCAAGTGAAGATTAATGAAATTGGTGATTTCAACTTTAATTTTAATCATTCTCTAACTAACCCTAATTCTGTAGATAATTTTGAACTTCAGATAGTTCCAATTTTAATTTTAATGATTTAACTGTCGCCAATGACTCTAAATAATTCCGAATTGCAGATTGATGAAGAGAATAAAAATCAAATTACTGGACAATGGATATCTAACAGAATTGCAACTAAACTCAGACTAAATTATGAACATATAGACCAAAGATCAACGTACGTCGAATGTGGTAAGTTATTCCACATTTTGCGCATTTACGTTTATTGAATGGGTAGGAAAGGGAGAAACGATATGCATTTAAACTTTAACAATTAGTGGGAGGTATGGATATAACACATTCCATTCGGGCGATGAAAATTTAGCGAATCATGCTTTGCAAGATTAATAATATGATTTGAATGAGAATTTTTCACCAAATCAAATGAAGCGAGATTTGGATTTTCGATCATTTTAGTATCATTTATAAGATTAATAATAATATGACGACATTCATGTGCGATGTCTTTCGATATAATATTGGGATCTGAATCTATTCTGCTTAAAATTTTAGTACGAATATCTAAGT